TTGTTTATGTTGGCAAAGACATCATTCATGATATTTTCAAGATAGATCAATTCTTGGTGTGCAATAATGATACTTGTATCATCAGCAAAAAGAATGGGTTTGGACATAGAGTTCACAGTTGCTGGCAAGTCATTTATATATATGAGGAAAAGTAAGGGCCCAAGAACTGAACCTTGTGGCACTCCGTGATTTACGATACCCCATTCTGAATAGGTATTATGATTGGTATGGGGGCTTTCAATTTCTTCTTTCTGCCTTCTATTATTTAGGTAGGATTTAAACCATTGTACTGCTATACCTTGAATTCCATAAAATTTCAGTTTCATTAGTAATATTTCATGGTTTACACAATCAAATGCCTTGGCTAGGTCACAAGATATTCCACCCACATGCATTTTATTGTTAAGGGCACATACAATTTCATTTGTGAAACTAAATAGGGCCTTTTCTGTTGAGATTTTTATTTTTAAATCCAAATTGCTCCTCGACAAGGATGTTGTTTGAGTTCAAAAATTTATTTACTCTCTTGCATATAACTTTCTCAAAAATTTTAGAAAATGTTGTCAGAAGTGAAATAGGTCTGTAGTTCGTCAGACTTCATTTTGGCACTTGCAGCACTCAACACCTAATACGGATATTCCCTGCTCGATAATTTCTCACAATTAAATTTGCAGGAGGGCATAGACGACTCGCGAGCTGCGTCATTTGAAAAGTCCGACCAACATCACCTATAAGACACAAATTACCAAACATTTCCATAACCTAAATATCTTCCATCATTTATGAAAATAGATCGGATTTCATAAACTACAGCTCAACGAACTTAGCACGAAGCACTATTAAACGATTATTGCATATGTCGCCAATACACAGCCTCTCTGCCACCAGATTGTACTGCACGAGCATCTATAACACACCCAATGACCAAGCCCACTGGTAACTGTACTTAAGAACACGAACTTCCCTTCGTCAGACTTCATTTTGGCACATGCAGCAATCAACACTTAATACCTCCCGCTTTGACATCTCTTTACAGATTTACATAGAGAAAATACAAACTAAGTAATGCGTGGTCAGCACACTTTTAAAGTCCTCCTGCGTCAGAGAACGGACATCCACGATTATCAAAACTGTCCGGTATAGCTATGCCAGAGATCTTCATCACCGCACTTCCTAAACGAGTGAAACTGCAGAGCCCCCCGCATCTGCTTCCGAACAGATTCAGAATGACTGACGTTTTGAAGTTCTTCCTGTGGCATTAGTTTGAAATGGGATGAAGCTGATAAAAGGAAATACCATATTCTTTCCAGGAAGAGGAATCACATCTTTGGTGACAAGCTGCGGCCAAAGCCAAGAGTACCTGAAACTTACAGCCTTTCGCACATGACAAACTCTCTCATTCCAAGATGTGTTGGTCACCGCACTATGAAGCAGTCTCTTATTAACGCAATGTGATTGCGGCCGACATTTTTACTATTTTACTACACTCCCTAGAACACCCTACACACATAACTAGACATCCACCCCTACAAAAATATTCACACCTTACAAGGACACACACATCCATTTCACATGATTTATATCTAAGTTGAACACAATTATCACAACAGAGCAAGCCCCTGCGAATGGGTTAAATAACAGCCTACTGCACCACGTCTCCAGAGGCACACAAAATTTACATGCTGCATTCAGTCCTCTTCTCCATGTACGCACTCAGCAACAGGACGGCCAACCATCAGGGACACAAGTGGTCTTCTCTCGGACGTCAGTCTGCCTAGTGCTGGTGCACTCCTGCTGCAATATACCAGGAAAGGTGTAAGATGCACGTGAAATCTAGAATCTCAAGGGGCCACTTTCATAGACATTGGAGGCAAAGTCGTCTGATGTGAAAAAATCTCATGCCAACTTATTTTTGGAATGGGTGCCTCCTGCTTATTCAAATATTTAATCTGAAATTGAGGGGGGGATCCTGTTCATAGACATACGAGGGATTAAACGCATAACACCAAACATCCAACTTGCAATCAGCCTCTGTCAGAGCATTACCGTTGCTTGACAGAAAAAGTATTTCTCTTCCAACTTGGTACATATTCTGAATATTTATCCAGTTAATATTCCTTGTGATATGAAGTCAAAAGACAGTGTCCTTAATGCGCTGGTTTCGGACATTAATAACGAGGAATCTTTCTCCAAAGGGTACAAATGTTAGTCCTTGTTCTTTGTGTACTATGCCAACAAGGTTGGTAACTTGTAAAGTGATTCATTGACAATGGAGTTTCATATCTGTACTCACTTTTATTGTGGGACTTGAGCAATTTGTTGTGGTTAGAACCTATTTCCCACTACCCTGTATTATTTAGATTACATACTTCTTGTACTGGTGCCTCTTATGAACAGACAGACACACTCAATCACATCCAGTTATTGTAGCTCTATACATAAGCTGCATTTTGTGAGCCAATTAATATGCTGTCTCTTTGAGAAATGTTGGTCCAACGCCCTATCTTGTGTCAGGCGCTCAACACAGAGGTTTTACACACCTGTAAGATTTCATCCAACCGCGGCCAATATCGTTCTGGTACTTCAACCCAGCCTCATCAAACAGAACATCCAAAGGGAACAGAACGAAGTAACAGTCATGACGGTGGTGTGACTGGTGACCTAGAACATTAATGAAAATACATACTTCAGTAACTGAATACTGAGAAGGCGAGCAGATTTCAGAACGTATGGAACCACATCCATCAACACTACACAATAAACATATCTGAAAACCTCAATACACAAGGGATATGGACTGCGCGCAGGAATGTGCCGCGGCACCAACAATGTTTCCGTGAAGAACTGTGGAAGCTCCTGAAGTGAGCACAGCACTCTAGGGAATGATGTGAATGTATATGTCCCTAAAAAAATTTAATATTTCTGTTCAACATAGTTCCACACCACATAGTAATACTGTCCGTAAAAACTCTACAACTCCTTCCCAAACACACATCACATCGGTCCCATGCAACGTCTGTTGCCACTGATTACTTACTGCTAATTATTTTACTTTTACTGTCCATTAAAATCACTTTTTTCTCACAAATATGGCATTATTAGAATTAAGAGCACCACAAAATATAACACGGTTACAAATGCCACTGTATTCATTTACAGTACCATATATAATATTGGTCAGACTGAACTCTCTCATAAGACAAGCACATCAAATACATCCTAATGCTCATGTACTTACACAACACATGCCAAGTTCAGACAGAGATGAATCCCTTGCGGACAAGGGTTCCTCCATGCTCCCAGCAGGTTTCCTGTTCTGATATCAAGTCAGTCTGCCAACTGTTGCTACTGCTTCTATGGCAAGCTGTATGAAGGTCAGGTTACATA